GAGAGAGAGAGAGAGAGAGAGAGAGAGAGAGAGAGAGAGAGACATTGATTTGTTGTTCCACTTATTCATTGGGTTGAGGCTGTATGTCCCCTGACCGGAGATCGAACCTGCAACCTTGGTGTATCAGGACAATGCTCTAACCAACTGAGCTACCTGGCCAGGGCACACTGTATGTTTTCTTTTCTGTCTCTTTCTCAACAAAATGATTTTGAGATTCATGCTTATCGCCAAGTTTCACTATAGTTCACCCACTTTCACTATTAGCAATGATGTGACTATACCGTTATTCATGGTGATGAACATTGGATTTATTTCCAGTTTTTGGAACCAATATTATGAGCACTGCTTTTACTGACCCTATTGTACAAGTATCCTGGTAAGTGTATGCATGCATTTTTCTAAGTATGTACCTCGGGGTAGACTGGCAGGACCATAGAGTATTGTCAGATAGTGGAAACTGATTTCCACAGCAATGGAACCAATTTACACTTCCTGGGCAGTATGTGAGACTCCTGGTTGGTCCACACATATATCAACATTTAGTATTGTGTACTGTCAGAGTTTTGACCTTTTGCCAATCTGGTGGATGTGGTTTTATTTGTATTTCTCTGATGTCTGTTGAGGGTGAGCACTTTTTATGTGTTTATTGGCCATTTGGATTTCCTTTTTGGCAAAGTGAGAGTTTAGCTTTTGCCACCTGTATGTCTGGATGCTCACTGTCTCTCAGATTTTTTTCAGGGTAATTCCTTAGTATCTTGTCATGTCTGGTGCTTTTTGCATGATTTTTAAAAAGTATCCATTATTTTTAGTTGCTTTCAGCCAGAGGTTTGGACTAAAAAAAAAAACCTAGTCTGTTATTACTGGAACCTGTAAGTTCTCTCTATTATTTTCTTTTTTAAAAATATTTTTAATGAAATATTTCTGGCATGTAAAAAAGTGTAGATAATAGTATCTAATCACACATGTAACCACGACTGAGCTTAAAAAATGAAACATTGTGTGTGAAATTGAGGACCTTTATATATTCCTACCCCCTACCTTTCTTCCCAGAAGTAGTTAATATCCTGAATTTGATTTCATCATTTTCATGCATATTTTTATAATTTTCTACAAATATCTCCATTATATATATAGGGCTGAATTGCTCTCCAAAATGATTTTATTTATTTATATTATCCTTAGTAATGTATGAGAGCTCTGGTTGCTCTAAATCAGTGATGGCGGACCTACTCATTTTTTTGGTTGATTTTTCTTTGTTAAATGGCATTTAAATATATAAAATAAATATCAAAAATATAAGTCTTTGTTTTACTATGGTTGCAAATATCAAAAAATTTCTATATGTGACACGGCACCAGAGTTAAGTTAGGGTTTTGCAAAATGCTGACACGCCGAGCTCAAAAGGTTCGCCATCACTGACCTA